CAGGTGTGCTTTCTATAGTCCAGGTGTACTTTCTATAGTCCAGGTGTGCTTTCTATAGTCCAGGTGTGCTTTCTATAGTCCAGGTGTGCTTTCTAGAGAAGGAAAGATGAAACACGTTAAGATAGAAATAATTACAAATACAAACATGCAGAGTAAGTAAAGGCAGCAGCAGAGTGAAGAAATGTGGTCAGTTTGTCCTCCAGCAGTCTAAGCCTATAGCAGCATAACTAAGGGATAGCTCAGGAAACCCAAACCAACCCTAACTATAGGATTTATATAAAAAAAGGAAAGTCTTTAAACTGGACAATGTGTCAGCCTCATGGACAGAAACTGGAAGTTGGTTCCACAAGAGAGGAGCCTGATTACTGGAAGATCTTCCTCCCATTCTGCTTTTGGAAACTCTAGGAACCACAAGTAAACCTGCAGTCTGAGAGTGAAGTGCTCTGTTAGGAAAATATGAAACAATATTTGTAATATAAGATGAGTGTGACATTGCATACTTTTAGTGTTTGACAGAACGCTGTCATTTCTCAACGGAAGATGATCTTAGTCTAAAACTGGCAGGAATGTTGGCGGGTGATATGCATTCAATGCTAGGTCTTTAATTATAGTTTAATATGCAGGGACAGTCACAGGATCATAAAGAGACGAACACCATTACCTTGTAGTTTTCAGGTTTTAACATATTTGTCCAAAAGGAAAAACAAAACAATCTTTAACGACGATCTTTTGTTTTATGGAGTCAGCAGGTGTAATAACCGGAGAAGGGCATGGACGTGTTTCTCCAACCAATATGCTCAGATTGCCCTCTGGCCATGAGTTACTGCTCCCTCCTCAGGCAGCTGGGCTCGGGTCCAGTACAGGTACTGCCCTCCACTGGTCCAATGAGCTGTCAGTCACGTCCTTGGACCTGCTCTATAACGTGACCGCGAGGGGGGAGTGATCACACGGTGACAATTTGTCAACATTATTGTTTATTAGCTTAGCAGATGTCCACACTGAGGAGGTTCCTCGGTTCAAAAGGACACACACACACACACACACACACACACACACACACACACACACACACAAATAAAACACACAAGCTTCAAGTGTTTGTGAGCTGACAGGTTAGAGAAACTGATGTAGCAACGAGCACAAGTATTTTATCAATCCAAACTCTTAATAATTTCTTCTATTTTAAACCTAAAATGTTTATAATAATTAAAAAGATGAAATAAAGGAGGTTGTAGGCAACAAATTAAAAGCCTCAGTAAAATATTTAAATGCAAAACTTATAAATAAAAGGACTGGATGGCTATTCTGTAGTATAAATGTTTATACCAAGTCTGCTGTCTCCGTCACTGAAGGATTTGAATAAAAAACGTTTTTAGTTTTAGAGATGAGTGTTTTTTCTGGACTGGAGCAGGAAACTCAAATAAACCTTAATGTTTTTAGTACAAAATATTCAAGTGAGTAGGAGTTGCACTTTATAAAACAGAGGTTTGTTTTTGTTTTTGCTCATCAGATACCACCGCTGAGTGGAGGGAGCAGTATTATCCACCACCAGGGGTGGAGCTAGGGGGTGACCTATGGTGAACTTGGCCACCATGAATTTATCAGATTAAACGGATTACTCAGTCACCCTAAGCTTTTGAGGAACATGTACTTTTAAGCGATATACAAACTAGAAAACATAATTTTCTCAAATGATGAGGTGGCCGGCAGCACGGTGGCTCAGTTGGTAGAGCTGCTGCCTCTCGGTGAGCAGGTTGCCTCGGTTCAAATGCCGTCCCGGTACCTTTCTGGGTGGAGTTTGCATGTTCTCTCTGTGCATGCGTGGGTTTTCTTCGGGTACTCTGGTTTCCTCCCACAGACTAAAAACATGCATGTTAGACTGATTGGTAACTAAATTGTTCCTAGGTGAGAGAGTGAATGGTTGTTTGTCTCTGTGTGTCCCTGTGATGGACTGAAGACCTGTCCAGTGTGTCCCTGCCTCTTGCACAGTGACTGCTGGATATGGGCACTGTGACTACTAAAGGACAAAGTGTGTAAAGATGATGGATGGATGGATGGATGAGGTGGCCGATGTCCATATATAAATATGTATATACTGTATATGGCAACAGAAATCAGGTTTTGACTTGGCAACCCTATTTTCAATAGAAACCTCTTACGTGTAGATGCAGCCACAAACCAAAAAGGAAATTGGCACTTTGCTTATTTTTCAAGTTATCCAACTCAAAAGACGGATGGATAAACTGATGGTGTTTCCAGTTCCCCCATTTTGGCTCCACGACGAGGCACAAAACATCTGGAGAATGTGGAGTTCCAAGCTTCAAATTGTTGTGTTAGCTAAATTCACCTGCCTGACACTGGAGG